CGTCGCCGCCCATTCGCCGCCTTCTACGCCTGCCGGCGCCTCAGAGTTTTCGCATGGTGGGCGACCGCCACCGCCTCGTCGCCGCTCCGCGCCCTGGCTCGCACTACGACGGGTAGCAACGATGACAATGCTCATGCGAGCCACCACCACTACCGAATGCGACCATTACATGTAATGAAAATACGAATGAGAAGACAAAATGATGGCACTGCCGAAACTACCGCCATTGCTACCGAGCAGCTGATACCTTTGCATTTGCCCCCTGCTTCTTCGCCAAACAAAGCTTGCAATGTTTGTTTCTGAGCCAGGTTGCACCACTTCGGACATATGATGCACTTCAAGGTTCGCGCCACCTAGAATGCACATCGCGACTGCAACAACCAGCTGCTTGAGGTCAACGCTCGCAAAGATGTCAGAATGATGAAAACGAATCCTTGAGGAAAGATATCCTGACCACTTCTCGCCATTTTCGGGGCCCTGGAGCCTGCCACGGTCTCTGGGACCGTCAGAAAATCACATAGGATGTATGCAGAAGTAGTCCTGGGGAAAGCCCCGGGGTCCGGGACCCGTTTCCCTCAGGACCTCGTTCCTTCATGTCGACTGCATTTGCCACGGCCTCGAGGAGCTCTGGGGAGCCACCAGGGCTGCTCGCGGTGAAGATGCGTGAAGCTGGCCAGCCGCGAGCAATTGCAATTCGTTCATTCATGTACCCCTCCCCCCCGCTCGCGCAAACCTGGAGCTCGGCAGACGCCTTGCCAAAAGCCACCCCCGGACAAAGGCCGATCATGCCCACTGAGGCCACCACCGCCTCCATGATCTCGGACGGTGCCCTGCACAGGGGAGGGGCAGGGGAGGGCACTCCTCCCCCGGATACGTCCCATACATTTGTTCGGTGCCCGCGGTGTTCTCCGTCGGCTGTGCCTCGCCCAGGAGCATTTGGACGCCCGAAATGGGTACGGAAAGAATGGGTACAATGCACAACAAGAAATGTTGTCCCAAACCAGCAGCGGCCGCTGTTGGGCAGGCGGCCTTCTGTCTCAAATGGACACAGGCCGCGGCGGCGCGGACAGCGAGCCCTGTTCAAAATGAACAGGAACTGCTGTTGGGCATCGTACCCATTCTTTCCGTGCCCATGTCGGTCGTCCCGAGAGCATTCCTGGGAAACCAGTCCCGAGCGGCGCCAGGAGTCAAAGCTGAGACCTCGGGGCCAAGCGAAGGAACCACGACGTGCGGTTATGCCCCGTGCCAGGCCCCAGAGCCATCGCGAATCCACCTGGCTCGAGACATTCCAACAAAAGGTTGGGCCAAGAGCTCTCTCCGTCCAAGGTCCGTACCCCTCTTCTTAGCCACGCCATGGGGGCGCAACTCCTGCCGCGTCATCCGCCCACCTCCTCCCCATCCCAGACCCATCCTCACTCCTCCCCCTCCTCGTCGTCGTCCTCTTCTCCTCCTCCTCTTCTTCCTTCTCCTCCTCCTCCTCCTCCTCCTCCTCCTCCTCCTCCTCCTCTGCCTCCCGCAGCGTCTAGCCCCTACAGCGGCGCTTTTTCATCGGTTACCAGATGCTAGCGCGCGCGAATGCACTCGAGAAAAACAAAGTTGCGAGGACACGCGAGGTCCCCATGAGTTGCCACCCAGCCCCGTGACGCTGCCTCAGACCTCCCCCGTGACCCGACGTCCCCAGAAGACTGCGCATCCGCAACAACATCAAGGCCAGAACCCTGGCAGTCCCCAGCATTCCGCTGCAACTGTTCGCGCGGGATCGATCTGCGGCGGCCCCCTTTGCAGGGCACGAGACACGGCGAGCCCGCCCAGCGCAGGAAGGCACGCAACGCCCAGAGCTGGGGGGGGTCCTCCCCCTAAGGCGAAGCCAGGACAGGGACAACATCGGACCTGGGGAAGTCTGGGATCTCCGAGATGCGGCGGCTCTGGAGGATGCCTCGGGCCCCGCGGCCTTCCCAGAGGCGTTCGGGGACCCTCCGAGAGTGTCCCGCAGCACTCTGGGATGAGTCGTCCCTGTCACATGAAAATAGGGAGCCAAAAAAGGACGTACGCGCCCAGCTATGTACATGAACACGGCCCCTTGATCCGCGAGACCAGCCGCGTGATACAAACACTCGCGCAGTGCGTACTCTCGAAACCAGCTTGGATTCATGTACGTGTACGTCCTTCTTTCGCTACGGAGAAACGGGCCCCGAGAAGAGAAAAGGTCCCGGACCCTGGGGCCTTACCCGGGGACCAGCTCTTCATCCTGAGTTGTCTTCTGACAGTCCCTGGGCCCGCGACACTCTGGGATGAGCCATCCCTGTCGAACGAAACGGGCCCCGAGAAGAAAAAGGGTCCTGGACCCTGGGGCCTTTCCTTAGGACCAGTTCTTCATCCTGAGTTGTCTTTTGGGTAGGGGGCCAGATGCGAACCCGACCCCTCCCCCCCACGATTTCTGAGGGGGAGGGGTCGGGTTCGCATCCGGCCCCCCAACCTGGGGCCTTCCCCGAGGACCAGCTCTGCATCCCGCGTTGTCCTCTGCCGGTCCCTGGGCCCGCGGGGGGCCCCGAGAGAGCCCGCCGCTCGCCTGCGACGTGCCCAAGCCCTCCTTACAGGAAGGGGCCCTGGGACACACAAATGAATAGACACGAGTCACAGGATCCCCATAGTTTCCCACATGTTCTGGGTTTCTGTCTCCCCCCCCCACTTCCAAGATTTTCCCCCCTTTTCTGAAAACCGACGGTTCATTGTGTCTGTGTGTGTGTTTTTCCCCTCCTGATTGTAACCGTGGCGAGGAGGCACGGGACCGATCGATGCACACGAACGCGTCGAAGGACCCGCAGGCGTCCAGGAAAGCGGCGACGAGCAGGCACTCCGCAGCCCGCTCGGGGAGCCGCGAGGTCTCGGCCGGGTTTGTTCACAACTCCACTCCGCTGGGCCTCCCAGGGGCCCACGAACGTGGCGACGATTGAGCAGTTCGCAGCCCCCCGAGGAGCCGCGAAGCCTTGACTCGAAGTGTTTACGACTCCACTCCGCTTGGTCTCCCAGGAGGCCACGAAAGTGGCACCACTTGCGCAGTCCGCAGCCTCCCCAGGGAGCTGCGAGGTCTTGGCTGGGTGTGCTTGCAACTCCACTCCGCTGGGCCTCCCAGGAGCCCACGGAAGTGGCGACAGAGCGCATTTCACAACCCCCTCAGGGAGCCGCGAGGTCTCGGCCGGGTGTGCTTAAAACTCAACTCCGCTGGGCCTCCCAAGGGCCCACGAAAGTGGCGACAGTTGAGCAACGGGCAGCCCCCCAGGGCGCCGCAAGGTCTCGACTGGGTGTGTTTACACCTCCACTCCGCTGGGTCTCCGCCAGGAACCCACGAAAAGGGCGACGAGTGCGCAGTTCGCAGCCCCCCAGGGAAGCCGCTAGGTCTCGAAACTCCACTCCGCTTCGCCTCCCAGGAGACCACGAAAGTGGCGACAATCACGCAGTTCGCACCCCCCCAGGAAGCCGCGAGGTCTCGACTGGGTGTGTCTACAACTTCACTCCGCTGGGCCTCCTAGGAGCCCACGAAAATTGCGACGAATGCGCGCTTCGCAACCCCCAGGGGAGCCGCGAGGTCTCGACTGGGTGTTTGTACAAATTCACTTCTCTGGGCCTCCCAAGAGCCCACGACGACAGTTGCGCACTTCGCAGCCACCCATGGAGCCGCGAGGTCTCTTCTGAGTGTGCTTGCAGGTCCACTCCGCTGGGCCTCCCAGGAGCCCACGAACGTGGCGACAGTTGCGCAGTCCGCAGCCCCCCAGGGAGCCGCAAGGTGTTGACTGGATGTGGTCACAACTCCACTCCGCTTGGCCTCTCACGAGCCCTCGAAAATGGCGACATATGCGCAGTTCGCAGCCCCCAGGGGAGCCGCGAGATCTGGGCTGAGTTTGTTTAAACCTCCACTCCGCTGGACCTCCCGAGAGCCCACGAAAGTGGCGACGGCTTCACACTTCGCAGCCCCCTCAGGGAGCCGCGAGAGTCCCCCTCCTGGGAGCACGCGGAAGAGGCAGAGCCGCAACGGGGCTGCAACGCAGGTGGGACGAAGGAGAGAAGGGAGGAGGAAGACAAGGAAGAGGAGACAGGAGGCAGGAAGCAGGAGCCGACCAGCCGTAACTGGGGGAGCTGTGGCTGGGGGAACCCATCGATCGACGATCTCTCGAGAGGGGTGTCGAAATCGATGGGTCCCCCAGGGGGGTAAGGACCACAGCTCCCCCAGCTGTGGCTGGCCTGAGGAGGCAGGAGGGGGAGGAAGACGGAGTGGAGACCACAGCGCTCTGTCCAAGACGAAAACCCAACACGGGAGGGTGGGAAAACAAGAAACACCTCACGACCCGTTTCCCTCCGGACCCGCTTCCCCCGTGGCGACCCTGCCCTCGCCCCGCCCGGCCCCCTCGACCTCCCCTCCTCCTGGGCGGGGCGGCGGGGGGGCTTCAGCAGCAAGTGCTCTTTCACGTGCTTCACCTCGGCAGCCCCCCGGTTGGCGCTCCTCCTCCTCCTCCTCCTCCTCCTCCTCCTCCACCTCCTCCTCCTCCTCATCCTCCCTCTCCCTCTCCCTCTCCTCCCGCTGGGCGCGCGGCAGCTGGAGGCGCAGCATCAGTGATCGGGCGGAGTCTGACCACGTGCGTGCACTATGCTTGATCAAAGCAGTTAGCTCAGCCTTCAGCTGGCGCACGCCTCCCTCCCTCCTCCCTCCGCCCGTCTCGCTCCCTCCTCCAGATCCTTCCTGCCCCCCTCCTGCTCGTCCCTCCTCTCTTCCTCCTCTTCCATCTCCTCCACTCTGTAATATTTTGTTTGACGAAGTCTCCCAAGTTTTGTGTTGCACTCGATGCGGGGACCATGGGTCTCAGCAGATTTGTTCCCTGGCTGCTGCGTGGGATCCCTCCGAAGTCACGATGCAGCGCCAGCAGTGCATCACCAGGTTTCGCCGACGGCTACGACCCAAAGCGTTAGTCGGGCGTTAACCCTTCTGTTCCGACAGTGTTCAGGGAGCCCGTTCTCCTCCTCCAGTCTGGTCTCCGACAGTCTTGGGCGAGGGGAAGGGGTGCGGGGGGACCCAAAGAACCGGCGGGACGACAACATCGAGACGGTAAATGTGGCAGACCGCTTCCCCTCTTTGAACCGCTGGAGACCTATTCAAGCCCTGGGTCCAGCAACAGGAAAAACACTCGGGATGAAAAGTTGGCTCTGGGAAGGGGTCGAGGGGGCCGCGGGACCATATCTCTCGTTCTCTCTCTCAATATCTCTCTCCCTCTCTTTCTCTCTCCATGCCCCTGGGGAACAGAGGGGTGAGAAAGTGCAGAGATAGAGAGAGAGAGAGAGAAACAACATAAGGAAAAAGGAAAGGGGGTCATAACGGAAAGAGAAGCAGAGAAAAGTGAGCACTACATAACATGTACCGTTTATACACGTATACCCAGACGAATAAACATGACAATACATATAAACAGTTTTTGAAACTAAGATTGGGGGCAGAAACGATGGGAAAAAGAGAGACAGAGGGGCGAAAGGGAGGAGAAATATGAATATGGCTACATGGCCGAATTCAAAAGCTCTGATTTCAAACGTGTTGACGTCTCGTTTGCAACCGCCGCCTTTCGCCGAGTTTCCGCTGGCTTCCGCCAGGGCCGAGGACACGCTGCAGGTGAGGCTCCTGTTCTGGAGCGCGCCAGATAAACGAAGCTGAATATACACATACATACATTGCGAGAGATAGAGAGAGGTATATATCAGAGACAGAGCAAGAGAGAGATACATCCAAACGACGTATACACGGCGTAACGAAAATTGGTTTGGAGAGAAGGGGCAACAAACGCGAGAGAGAGAGAGAGGCGAAATACAGAGGGATCAAACATATAGGAATCAGGTACACGTAAGCACACAGGAGCTTGTAACGACTAGAAACAGAGAGACAGAGGGAGAGAATAGACAGAGAGAGAGAGAGAGAAACAAAAAAGTAGTATACGAGAGAAAATAAGAGAAAACAGACAGATCGATCTATGGTTCCCCGGTGTTGATGATTTCGGGGCGGTCATTTCTGACGCCCAGCATGGGCATCTCCAGGCAGCGTGTTCTTCAGTAAACTTTGGTTGGTGGCAGCATCTGCAGCATAGTGTTGGGTCAGCCGAAATGCCCGCGCGATCTTCCTCTGCTGGTTGTGATAATCCCACCAGCCCTCTGGGCGTCGGTGGTTTAGAGCGTTTCCTCTTCCACCCCTCCTTCTTCCCCTTCGGGGAGGGGTTTACCCCTCCCCCTACCCCCTCCCCACTGACCTGGACAAGGGGGGCCGCGAGTAGTTAGAGCGTCCAAGACGGCCCAACACGGCTCCAAGAGGGCCTCAGGGAGCTCAAGATGACCTCCAAGATGGCTCAAGATAGCGCAAGATGTCTCAAGATGGTCCCCATGATGTTCCAAGACGCTCCAAGAACTCCCCAAGACGGTTCCAAGTGCCCACAAGAGCATCATTAGGATGCATCCAAGAGGCCAAAATGCTTCAAAATCCTAGGGAAAACCAATGTTTTTGGTGTTCTCACTTTTTCGCTTGCGATGCACATCCGACGCGTCAAGATGGCTCCAAGATGGCTCAAGATAGCTCCAAGAGGGGCCCAAGAGAGCCTGAGGATGGCTCCAAGAGCGGCCACGAGCGCTCCAAGAGCGATCCAAGAGGGGTCCAGGAAGCGATGTGTGGAGCTCCTGGGGGGGGGGGGGGCTGTAATTAGGGAACCCCACTTCTTTGCTCGAGTTCCTCCACGATGGCCGCAAGAGGCCCCCAGGATGCCCCAAGAGGCCGCAGGATGGCCCCAAGATGGCCCCAAGAGGCCCCCCAAGAGGCCCCCAGGAGGCCCCCAAGAGACCCCCAAGAGGCCCCAAGAGACCCACCAGAGGCATCCAAGGTGCTCCCAGAGGACTTTGTACTATGGTTTGGGCACCATGTTGGCCTTCTGAGGGGGCAAAGATGGCCCCAAGAAGCGCCCAGGATGCCCCCAAAGGCCCCAAGATGGCCCCAAGATGCCCCAAGAGGCCCCCAGGAGGCCCCAAAGAGGATCCCGAACGGCCCACAGAGGCCCCCCCCGAGGCACCCAAGACGCCGAAAAGCCCCTCAGGACGACCCTCTACTCGCCTGGGCGTCGTTTCTGGACGGGCTGGTGGGGATCCGCGAAGCGTCTAGAATTGCTGTAGGGGTATTTGGGCAGCTACAGAGGAGGCCGAAGTTTCAAGCAGTCAATTTGGTTGTCCCTTCGTGCCCTTTGTAACCAAATGTTGGTGAAGTAGTCGAGGCCCTATTTGACCGCGGCGCAAGCTCCCAAGTCGTGTCTGGTGGTGGGAACGCGTCGGGGGAAGGATCGCCTCTGCGATGCCCTGACCACGCGAGTGGGCATGCCCATCGGTAGGTGCAACCGCGATTGGTGCGCACCCCAGTCGTCACACATCGTGCCGAAGGCTGGCCAAATTGCCAAGAGTATGCCTACAGTTTGCCAGGCTATGCCTATGGGGCCTCCTCGGTGGAAGGTCTGCACGTGGTCGCGCAGCTCTTCGGCCCTGGCGTTGAGACTGGTGTCCCTCCGCGCCTGCCTGCGCGGCCATAGCAAGGATTCCCTTTGCGTGACGGCGCCCACCTTTAAGGCATGGCCTGGTGCGACGAGGGCGTGGAGAGCCCAGTGCGGAAATTCAGGAGCGCCCCTTGGGACGGATGGCGGCGGACGTCGGATTGTGGCAAAAGCTTTGCGTTCTCGTGTCTGGGGGGGGGGGGCTTGTATGTTGGTGCCCGTGGCGCACGTGCTCGCTGCGGGGGATCTGACTGAGCGGGCTCTGGCGCGGGTGCCTTCGGGGAGGAGTCCTATACGCGGAAGTCTAGCCACGGCTCGTTGGACACTTGCACCAGCGGCGGTTGCCAGATTATGGTTGGCATCGTCCTCAACCGCTGCAACATCGATGTAGCTCCCTGCAAGCGTCACCAGGTGGCGAGCTTGTATCGGGTGGCCACTAAATTTGAGAGCTGCAGCCCAATCGTGGAGATCTTCCCAACAGCCGAACCCACGACTTCGGCAGGGTGGATTTGTTGGCCAGAGAGACGGTCGAGGGGGGCGGTCTCGGCGAGCGACGTTTGCAGCTCCCTGGTAGCAGGGGAGCTGCGACTGCGAAATTATTGCTATCGACAAACAAGGTGCTTAGGGGGCGTGGCATTCACAGGTATTGTCTTGTCTCTTCGCCCAAACGCACAATAAGAGATTGGTGTCGTCGAGCGAGAGGGAGCTAGCTTGGAAATGACGGTGCTGCGTGCTAAGGGGCGGGGTAGCCCATTCAATTCGGATGGTTGCCATGGGCGTGAGGTCGGCATGTGGAGGAGGGGCTCTGGACCTTCCCCCGCGCGTCGGTTGTCTCTCAAGGCTTTAGCGAGGATGCGAAGCACTCTCCAGTCCAGCTTCTTACCTGGCCCAGTCCACGCCACCCGCGCCAGCGGCAGGTCGGGCCCAAGTAGACTGGATGAGCGCTTCGTCGGTCGGGGCGCACGGTGGAGCAAGGGCAGGGCAGGGGAGCTCCCAGGTGGCTCTCCAGCTCAAGACGCCTCCCAGGATCGGGACAGCTTCGTCGCGGCGAGGTCCAGCTGTACAGTGCCGCCACAGCATGGGCCCCCGCGTGTCCTTGCTCGGCGTGCCGGGCGGGGCAAGGCCTCGGCAGCCGACATCGCCCGCGCCATCCGCGGCTGGGTCCGCAGGGGAGTCGGCCGAGGTGTCGCCGCTTGGGGGCTTGCGAGCCCGGCGGCTCCCGAACGGAAGGGGCCCCGGCGGCTTTAAGTTTGACTACCTACCAAACCACCCCAACCCAACCCGAAGACCCGAATTTCGGGTTGGGGGGGGTACGGGCTCCGTATGTATTTTCTCAACGTTCCCCGACCCCCCCCCAACTGGAGATGGAGGGCAAATCGGGGCCTTCGGGTTGGGTTGGGGTGGTTTGGTGGGCGGTGAAAGTTCGTGCATGTCCACGCATCAGCTGGCGCGCAGGTGGGATCCGCTGCGCGGCCTGCGCTGGTAGGCCGCACCAGCGTTACCAGCCACTTCGACCCACTGGCTGCTTGCTCTGCCGCCGTCGTTGGCTCGCATGCGGTTTCGCCCAGGCTGCGATGCGAGTGGCTGAGCAGCTTTGTCGCGGTGGCTACACCTTCGAAGCTGAGCCCCCGCGGGGGCGATAAGGCTTGCCGGTTGGAGGTCAACGGGAAGCCCGTCTATGTCCCGCGCGCGCGGGGGCTCCAGGAGGCTGGTGGGTCGTTGTCTTTAGGCGAGGACGTTGGCCGCGATCCAGGCGCGTGCAGTGCGCTGCCATGGCTGAGGAGGTGCTGGTCGGCGCCGCATCTGCCGTGCTGGACCCGGTGCTGCGCCAGGCGCTCTTTAACTGAATGGGGCCCTGGGACACACAAATACATGAGCACAAATAACAGGATTCCCAACATTTTCCCATACTTTCTGGGTTGTTGTCTTCCCCCCCACTTCCCATGTTTCCCATATTTTCCGGGGAATCGACACTTAATTGCGTCTCAGCTGATTAACAACTCTCAGCTGGCGCACTGGCTCATCCCGCGCGATGGCGGCGCGGTTTGTTCCACCGTGTTCAGGGTGGACTGAGGCGACCCAGGAACACACGAACAAATACATACAAACAACCAGTTCCCCCATAGTTTCCCATATTTGGGGGGTTTTCGTCTTCACCCCCACTTTCCAATGTTTCCCCTATCTTCTGGGGAATCGACGATCAATTGTGTGTGTGTTTTCCCCCCCCCTCCTGGTGGACGAAGGGCGCAGCGTGCCCTCCCTGAAGGCGCGACGCACTCTGCCGTACTTCGTAATCGCTTCGTGGCGCGTCCTGCCTTGGTCGGTGGGCTCCGCGCGGGGTGCGCTGCGCGGCCCGGTCTCCGCGAACTCGGACAGTTTTGAAGGGGGGGGGCCCTGGGACACACAAATAAACAAACACGAGTGGCAGGATTCCCCATATTTTCATTCGTTTTCTATTTGTTTTCGGGGGGGGGAGGGGCGTGTCCCCCAGGGTGGACGAGGAGTCCTGGTGGCCCGCTAACACTACCGGCGGTGTCGGGTGGCATGGCGCCCGCGGCGCGCTCGTGCCGAGGCCTCTGCACTTCTTGGCCTCGTGGCCCCCCCGGTGAAGGCAGCGGGCCCGGCCGGTATCGCCCCCCATTGCTCGACACCTGAGCCGGCGTGTGCCACAGCGCTCCCGCGAATCTGCATGTCCTCCTCTTCCTGCTCATCTTCCACATCCTCGTCGTCGGGGCTTTCGCCGAGGAGCCCCAGTGAGCATCGTTTCGGCGACCCCTGTCCCCACTGGCGTGGCCTGGGCTCCACTGGCCAGTATACCCCCCTAGATGGAAATAGACTGCTCCCTTCGGGTTCCGAGGGGCCTATCTCCAACTGGGGAGGGGGTTAGTGGGGCTGAGATGCCATACCATGGCCCTGCGGGGATGGGGATCTGATAAACGATGCAGACTCTCACCCATGGGGGTCGCCAGAGCTCCGAGGAACGAGCCCTCCGCGAGCTGGAAGAACGGCTCCAGCAGGACCATCAGCGCCTCCGGGAGGGCGCGAGGCCGAGAGGAGATAATTCAAACGGCGAGCGGGCTCCTCCCGAAACGTGTGAGGGGTGTGCCGATATGGGCGGTGCGGACGCATGTGGACACCGCCACTGGGGCCTTCGGTGGAACTCCCCGTGGGGCCACGAACCGTGTGAGGGGTGTACCGAAATAGGTGGCGCGGACGCATGTGGACAACACCACTGGGGCCTTCGGTGGAGCTCCCTATGAGACCACGAAGCGTGTGAAGGGTGTGCCGAAATGAATGGCGCGGACGCGTGTGGGCACCGCCACTGGGGCATTCGGTGGAGCTCCCTATGGGGCCACGAACCGTGTGAAGGGTGTGCCGACATGGGTGGCGCGAACGCATGTGGACACCGCCACTGGGGCATTCGGAGGAGCTCCTTATGGGGCCACGAAGCGTGTGAAAGGTGTGCCGAAATGGGTGGCGCGGACGCATGTGGACACCGCCACTGGGGCCGTCGGTGGAGCTCCCCTGGGGCCACGGCCCGTGTGAGGGGTGTGCCGAAATGGGTGGTGCGGACGCATGTGGACACCGCCACTGGGGCTTTCGGTGGAACTCCCCGTGGGGCCACGAACCGTATGAGAGGTGCGGCGATCTGGGTTGCGCGGACGCGTGTGGACACCGCCACTGGGGCCTTCGGTGGAGCTCCCTATGGGGCCACGAACCGTGTGAAGGGTGTGCCGACATGAGTGGCGCGGACGCATGTGGACACCACCACTGGGGCCTTCGGTGGAGCTCCCTATGGGGCCACGAACCGTGTGAAGGGTGCGCCGAAATAGGCGGCGCGGACGCATGTGGGCACCGCCCGGAGGGAGGGGCGAGGAGGAATGGACGCGGGGCGCTGTCTCTTCAAAACGGGGATCCAACACCACGGGATGGTTGGAAACACCCGCGCTCAAGCGATAGCTCCAACTCGAGGTGCGCGCCAACGTTGCTAGGCGCAGAGACGGCCTTGAGGACCCGAGGCTGGGCGCAGTCGTCTGAAATGCAACAGCTGGCGGCAAGGTCGGCTACGGTCGCCGCAGCCCTCAGGAAAAGAACAGCGTTGAGGTCGAAGCAGACGCCAGTGGCCCGATCACTACCCCATCCATCACCGCCCCAAGCAAAAAATCTGCGAGGCCGACGGAGGAGAAGAAGGATTGATTCACGGCAACCAGCCCCACAAGCGGCTGCCACCTCTCGGGTAAAACGCCGCGGTGCGATGGCCATTCGTTTTCCCTCGACATTAGCCCTCAGCTGGCGGAGCCCGACAGGCATGAAACGCCCAAGGCAGCGCGGCCATCAGGAACAATGGTAAGCAATAGGGAGGAGGAGGAGGAGGAGGAGGAGGAGGAGGAGGAGGAAGAGGAGGAGGAGAACGAAGAGGAGGAGGAGGAGGAGGAGGAGGAGGAGGAGGAGGAGGAGGAGGAGGAGGAGGAGGAGGAGGAGGAGCGACGAGGAGAGCAGGTCGGAGTGAGGGGGGGGGGGGAGCGAGGAGGGCGAGGGAGGGTTAAGGAGGGCCGGAGGGCAGAGCGCGCCTCCGTGGACGCCCGCGGCTCCTCCGACAGCTGCGGGCGCAGCTCGTCCCAGAAGAGGCGCAGGAGGTGCAGCAGGAGGCCCTCCCGCGCCCCCTCCGCACGCGCACCTTCACTCTCATGCAGCTCCACTTGGGGGTGGCGGAAGCGGGGGGGGCAACCGAACAGCCGCTGAGACAGCAAAATGTCGTTCAAAACACAACCAAACGCACTTAATTGCACAACGATGCGCAACAGCAATGGAATCTCCCATCGGGAAAGGGCGCCACGCAAAACCAAGTTGGCACAGCGGAGCCGTAGAGTGGGCAGTTCGGAACAACATCCTGGTGCAACCGCGCGACATTGTAACACATTCGCACCAGCAAACGCGCTCAATTTTCGCCCCCCAAGTTGACGCCACCCCCAAGCGGAGCCGAAGGACTCTCTCCTCGTGGCACCGCAGGGTTCGCTGCGAACAAAAACACGCAAGGGCCTGCCTGGCCACGCGAGCCTCGGCCACGAAGAGGCTCCCCGTCCTGGATCGGAGGCGGGGCCCCGAACGCCAGGGCGCCTCCCGAGCCGGCCGTGGTCCGCATCGCAGCGCCCTGACGGCACCGCGGGGAGCTCGCCATCGCTCGGACGTCCATTCCCTGTGTTTTTTTCGGTTTCGTGCATGGCTTTTTCGCCAAATGATCGAGGATGCTCCTCGATGGCCCTCGCCGAAGCAAAAAAGGCACACGTCCGAGCGATGCCAAGGGAGAGGGCGAGGCGGCCCCCCACACCCCACACCGCCCCGACCGGAGCACCGATCCGAGGCCGGCCCGCTCGAGCCAGAGCCCCGAGCCCTCCCAGAAAACCGTCGGCGCCTCTCGTGGGCGTCGCTCTTTCTCTTTGCTTCCGCCGCACTGGGGCCAGCGGAGCCGCTACCGTTGTACTGCGGCCACTTTCCGCCGAGGAAGGGGAGCCATTGGCCGACGCGCGGGTCGTCGTCGTCCGTCGTTGTCTGTCGTCGTCGAAGCCGTCGCCTTCCGGGAGAGGGCACGACACGCCCCGTCCCCCCATGCACCAGGGGAGGTGTCTGAACGCATGCGGATCGGATTCGAACCAACTTGGACGAATCCCGACCGAACGGTACAGATATCAACCAGCGCAGGGAGGCAAAGTGCAAATCCCAGTATGCCAAATTGCCTCACGTCATAGTCCCTTGTGCGAAGCATTGTAAGGCTGTCCGAAAGAAACACCTGCTCACATGCGTTCAGATGTTCTGGTAAACAGCATGAGTGCCGGAGTTGGGATTGACACAGTTCCCCGCTTGAGTACGGGCGGCTACGAGGGCATATTCGGTTTGTGACACGTGAACGCAACACAACGCGGTGCAGTGCAAGGCATCGCGACGTAATGTACATCAGAACATACATCAACAACGCATGGTCATAAGCGCACGTCAACAATACTCAGCATCACACGCAATTCGGAGCAGCGGAATTCAATACTTCGCACACGCTTAATCTATGAAGAGCAGCCAGCAGAAACATTCAGCAATACCACATACATCAGTAGCACGCATCAGACAGGAAGATCTGAGGTCCAGATCAAGCATCACTCAAATGCACCACGGCGCGCAACAATAACCAACCACAAAAGCAGGCGAGCCGACAACATACCATCATCAGACATCGAATAAACATCACATTGCAGCCATGAAACACATGTTGCCAGCGTAGACCCCGAACAGTGAGTCATTCCACTGCGCATGTGTCAGGTATGCTGTGCAATATGTGTATTGACATGCGTGTGGTGCACGCCATGTAGTGCAGCCTATGCGGTGAGAGCTGCATGGCACAAGCTAAGCAGTGCAATCCATGTGGTGCAAGCTATGCAACGCAAGCTACGCAGTGTAAGGTATACAGTGGAAGCTATGCCGCTTACGCTATGCGATACAAGCTGTGTGGTGAAAGCTAGGTGGTGCAGGCTCCGCGGCGCTATACGTGTGTCGTACGTTACGTGGTAGAGCTATGTGGTGTAAGCTGTGAGGCGAACGCTATGCGATGCACATCTGTGTGGAACAACCTGCTTGGTGCAATACAGTCTGGGGGGTGACCTAAGGAACCCTAAATAAGGAACGAGGCCCCTTTTTCCACCTTCGATTTCCCATCGAAAACCTAAGGACAACATAAGGCCGACTGTAAAACAACTAACGAACACTGAGCCCTTCCCAAACGAACAAGGTTCCTTCTTCAACGCACCGACTGTATGTGTGCAAACTATGCCACCCAAGTCGTGTGCCACGACCAACCACACACCGGCCGCCTACCCACGCGGCGCAGGGAGCGCCCGCCGAGCGCGCCCTCGCGCGGCAGCGCAGCGACACCAACGCAGCGCACCCATGCGGCACGCGGGGCGCCCACGAGGCGCGCCCACGGGCGGCCTCGGGCCGCGACTTGGCGAGCTCTCGGCGCGTCCATCCGGCGCACGGGGCGGGCGGCCTCGGGCGGCAACCTGGCGAGGCCTCGGCACAACCACGAGGCGCCCACGGGCGGCAGCGTGGCGAAGCTCTGGCACACAAAATGCAGCACATGGGACGCCCACAGGGCGCCCGTTGGCGGCGACGGGCGGCAACGTGGCGAAGCCTCGGCAAACCCATCCAGCACACGGGCGGCAACGTGGCGAAATCTTGGCACACCCATCCAATTTCTTCTTGAAGGCTAAGAAGGAATCCTAAATGCAAATCCGCAACCGTGCCTTTGGGCACGGAGTGGGTGTGTCCTCAGGTCCTTCGCCCAATCTTCTGAGCCTCAGTCTCATTAGGGGCCTGGACCCAAATATCCGAAATCTCCGCGGGCTTGTCGAGTGTCCCTGTGCTTCCCCCGGAATAGTGTCGCGTGACCTTTTCGGGCCCAAGAAAGCCCCAAGACAGACCAAGAGAGCCTCAAGAGGCCCCCGAACGATCGCCCTAAGACACTCTAGATGGCCCCAAGACGGCCCAAGAGGTCTTCGAGACGCCCCAAGTGGCCTCCCAAAAAGGCCCCAAGAGGCAACTACCCTGGCGACGTACCCAGCCCCTGGACAGTGCAGGGCAGGAGTAGCTTGGGAGATTTGATGAGAGGGCGACGACGTGACATGGACGCATATACCTCTGCGAGCGGCATTCGAGAGGTTTGCAGGTCCCCGATCAGGGGAAAAAGCGTGGTAGAGATGAGTAATTAAGTCAACCACTGAATCACTAAGGCAAGGTCCAAACGGAGAAGGCGGACAACGGGTTTGAAACGTCGGCGGGGCAGCAACGACATGACATGGCTCCCTCGAACAAATATTCCCACAAGACGACGCATGTTCTGAACCCGCGGCGGGGCGCCGCTGGGCTGGCCATCCGACACTTCCCCTGGACCCAACGACAGATTCGCAGATCGCAGCCATCCAAGGACGGCGAGGTCCCGCTCAGGTCCGCGCAGTGCCCCCCTCCGCTGGACCCACCAGCAGCCCTCGAAAGTGGCGACAACCTCCCAGATCGCAGCCCCACCCCCAGGGACGGCGAGGTCTCGCTCAGGTCTGCGCGGTGCTCTACCCCGCTGGACCCACCAGCAGCCCTCGAAAGTGGCGACAGTGTCGCAGATCGCAGCCCCCCAGGGGCGGCGAGATCCTAGACAGGCACCGCAGGCAAAGACAAAGAGAGAGAGAGATGGAGAGAGCGAGAGAAAGAGAGCAAGAGAGAAAGAGAGAAAAAGAGAGAGAGAGAGAGAAAGCGGCGAGAGACAGGAGGCGGGAGGCGGGAGGAGGAGGAGGAGAAGGAGACGCGACCGCAGTGCTCTATCCAAAGCGAATACCCATACAATGAAGGTTGGGGAACAAAGGCGACAGATTCCCAACTCGGGCCCCCCCAGGGACGGCAAGATCTCGCTCACATCCACGCGGTGCCTCGCTCAGCTGGGCCCACCAGCAGCCCTCGAAAGTGGCGACAACCACGCAGATCGCAACCCCCCAGGGTCGGCGAGGTCGGAGAAAGGTACCGGAGGTATTCAAAACGAATACCCAACCAACGGGGGAAGGGGAAAAGACGACAGATTCCCAAATCGCGGCACCCCAGGGCCGGCGAGGTCTCGCTCAGATCTGCGCGGCGCCTCGCTCAGCTGGACCCACCAGCAGCCCTCGAGAGTGGCGACACCCTCACAGATCGCAACCCCCCAGGGACGGGGAGGTCTCGCTTAGTTCCGCGCGGTGCCTCACTCAGCTGGACCCACCAGCAGCCCTCGAAAGAAAGCGGCGACAGCGTCGCAGATCGCACCCCCCCAGGGACGGTGAGGCCTCGCTCAAATCCGCGCGGTGCTTCACTCCGCTGGACTCACATGCAGCCCTCGAAAGTGTCGACAGATTCACAGATCGCAGCCCCCCAAGGACGGCGAGGGCTCAGATCCGCGCGGTGCATCACTCCACTGGACCCACCAGCGGCCCTCGAAAGTGGCGACAGATTCACAGATCGCAGCACCTCAGGGACGGCGAGGTCTCGCTCAGATCCGCGCGGTGCCTGGCTCCGCTGGACCCACCAGCAGCCCTCGAAAAAGGCGACGGCCAAGCAGATCGCAGCCCCCCAGGGCCGGCGAGGTCAGAGACGGGTACCGCAGGTATTCGAAACGAATACCCAACCAAGGGGGGTAGGGACAAAGGGCGACAGATTCCCAAACCGCGGCCCCCCAGGGACGGCGAGGTCTCGCTCAGATCCACGCGGTGCCTCGCTCAGCTGGACCCACCAGCAGCCCTCGAAAATGGCGACAGCCACGCAGATCGCAACCCCCCAGGGACGGCGAGGTCTCGCTCAGATCCGCGCGGTGCCTCAGTCCTCTGGACCCACCAGCAGCCATCTAAAGAAAGTTGCGACAATGTCGCAGGTCGCAGCCCCCCAGGGACGGCGAGGTATCGCTCAGATCCACGCGGTGCCTCACTCCGCTGGACGCACCAGTAGCCCTCGACAGTGGTGACAGATTCGCAGACCGCAGCCCCCCAGGGACGGCGAGGTCTCGCTCAGATCCGCGCGGTGCCTCACTCCACTGGACCCACCAGCAGCCCTCGAAAGTGATGACAGATTCGCAGATAGCACCCCCCCAGGGACGGCGAGGGATCGCTCAGATCCGCGCGGTGCCTTACTCCACTGGACCCACCAGCAGCCCTCGAAAGTGGTGACAGCGTCGCAGATCGCACCCCCTCAGGGACGGAGAAGTCTCGCTCAGATCTGCGCGGTGCCTGGCTCCGCTGAACCCACCAACAGCCCCCGAAAGTGGCGACAGCCTCGCAGATCGCAGCCCCCCCAGGGTCGGCGAGGTCGGAGACAGGTACCGCAGGCGACATGCACACACAAACGGCAATTACGCACAAGGCAAGATTTGACAAGAAGGAGCGGCGGCGGGAGGCGGGAGGCGGGAGGAGAAGGAGAAGGAGAAGTGGAGACCGCAGTGCTCTATTCAAAACGAATGCCCAAACAAGGAGGGCTGGGAACAAAATCATTGACTGTCCTTAGGGTTTGCAAGTGTTTGGCGGTCGCGCCGTTCCGCTTCCCGACGCTCCAAGACGGCCCACGAGGCCCCCAAGACCGCTCCAAGACGATCACAAGAGGCCTCCACGAGGACCCCAAAGCTGCCCAAGAGGGCCCCAAGACGGCCCAAAAGGCATCCAAAACGCCCATAATGGCCACGAGGGGCCCAAGATGGGGAACACGTGCCAGAAATCCGAGCCTTCCGCCCCAAGAAGCCCCCAGGAGGCCCCAAGAGGCGCCCAGGAGGCCCAAAGAGGCCCCAAGAAGCCCCCAAGATGCTCCAAAACGCCCCCAACAGGCCCCCAAGAGGCCCCAAGAAGCCTCAAAGAGGCCCAAAGAGACCTCAAGAGGCCCAAACACGGCACCCAAGAGGCGCCGAACATGGCCCCCAAGAGACTTCCAAGAAACCCCGAGAAGCCTCCCACGAAATCCAAATGAACATCCAATACGCTTCATACCAAAAACCCAGACCAGGCACGGTGGCGGGATGGCCCAAACAACAATAAATTTGTGAATCCGTGGAGCGCCTCAAAAGCATTCATCCGCCAGCGTGCCTCTGAGCATGGAGTGGGCGTGACCTCAGGTCCTTTGCCTAATCGCCCAAGCCTCAATCCTCAAGCCCCAATCCTCATCCATCAAGCCTAAATCCTCACTCCTGAGAATTCTCTTAAAAGGGCCTGGAGCCAAGATTGCCAACTCTACCAGGACTTGGACTTGCCGCGCCGCGTCGGGGATCCGGTGAATCTCCCTGCATTACTTTTTGTTGTCGCACACCCTGCTTCGGGCAATCCGAAAGAAAGCTGGTAATAGACAAAACACATGCCAATGTTCGGTCTGCTGCTGCCCTGTGGCGTCTCCAAGGCACAAGCTGGCTCACACATCCTGATGCAGCCGTGGGGAAGATGATATGGAGAGTAAGGTATGTGAGTAAGATAGGGGAGATGCGAAACAGGCGGGGGGAAACAGCTACAGCCAAACGGTGCGACAGTGGAAACCAGGCGTATCCCAACTCAAAAACTTCGAGGTGGGCAGCGCCCGCGCATGCGCACGCGCGAGGGCCAGCGAGAAATGGGCGGGAAGAGCGCGCCAGTTAAGATCAAGGGAGTGCTATGAGGAGAGGGAGCGAAACGACGATCAAAATTACACGCTGGTGCTGCCCACAACGGCACAATTAAAAGAAGTCTGCAGGATGTCACCTCCTAGGATACCCTGCAGAGCGCCCACGCAGCCCGCAGATTTGGTGGACTACTTCAAGAAACGGCCGTAGGCGAGGATGCGAGAAGGAACAGGGGGGGAGGGAGGAGAAGAGGGGCCATGCGTGTTCGGCGGAGGGCAGAGGGTTGAGGAGAACAGGGGGAAGGGGAGACGAACCCAAGGGCGCGCCCGAGGTTCGCGTCAGACGCCGTCGTTGAAATGGTTGATAAAGTGCGGGGCAAGAGGGCGGCGTCGAGCGCTGCGCCCCCTTGTATTCACCGAGCATTCTCCAAAACCACCTCATCATGGTCGTCGCCCCCTCCGATATCCGACCCCACTTCCTTCACCCCTCGAGCACGGCCGTTTTATCGCGAACGCCACGCGCAAAACCGACATGACAAAAACAGTCCCCGCTCACTCGCTGGACTCGCTGGAGGAGTCGGTGCTGTCCTCGCTCTCCCCCCCGGTGCAGGCGAGCTCCTCGCCCATGCCTGACTCCGCCCGCAGCACAAAGATCAGCATCAGCAGGGCGCCAACCCACGCGATCCAGAAGGCGTAGAAGAGCACCTTGCTCCCCACCTGCAGGGCGACTGAGATGAGCGCCACCAACACTGTGATCACCCCGCAATACGGCAGGAGCCCCCTCCACGGCGTGATGTCGACCACGTTGGCAGCCTTCTTATCTGGGCACGGCGTGGGCTCCGGGGACTGGCAAAAACACTTCCTGAGAGGGCTGATGTACGTGGCGGCCAGCATCGTCAAGACTGAGCCGACGAAGCAAATCGCGAACAGGTGCAAATAATGCGGGGCTGGGGGGCTCTTCACGAACTGGCACCCACCATAGGTAACCACGCCTACGGCGAAACCCATCTTGGCAGCGAACGCGTCGGGCAACCTTGTGGCGAGCCCAACACAGAAAACGGTCACGATAGGAAGGGCCGTCATCGCGTTGATCTTCTGCAGATATTCGAATATGCTCTCAAACTTGTTCAGTTGCGGAGCCAATACGTAAGAGAAGAGGGACAAGGCGATGCCGAAGAACGTGGCAATCTTCTTTTGCAGCGCCGCGTCTGCGCTGGGATTGATGTAGATCGCGTAGATCTCCAGGCCGAAGAGGGTCGACGCAGATTGCAGCGCCGAGTTGTACGTGGAGAGAACGCTGCCCAGGAGCACCGCCGCGAAAAGGCCGAGCGACCAGGTCGGCATGACCGCCTTCACCACGAGGGGGTACACCTGGTCGGCCTTGGTGACCTTGAAGGGCTCGCCGTTCACCAGCGTCCCGTGCTTGGCCATCAGCAGCCCGATCACGCCGGGCAGGCAGAGGAATGTGAAGCCGATGACCTTCATCGTGGCCGCGAACATGACGCCCTTCTGCCCATGAGCTAGCGACTGGGCCCCGAGCACGCGCTGAACGATCAACTGGTTGGTGGACCAGTAGTACAAGTTAATCATCATCAGCCCAGTCACGAGTGTGCTCCAAGGGAGGGACACTGGACCATGGACGCGCGCCCCCGCATCATTTGACCAAATCTCGCTGTGGGTGGCGAATGGCTTGAGGTGACCAACGTTATCCGATTGAAAAAGGAAAGAAACGCCACCGATATTAGACAGAGCCGCGACAGGAACCCACACCCCAAAGATAATCAGCCCGACGCCGTTGAGGCAGTCCGAGACGGCCACTGCCTTGAGCCCACCGCTCAGCGCGTAGATTGAGCCGAGGACGCCGATCAGGGTAGTGATGATCCATCTGGGCACGCTCTCGAGCTCGAAGATTGTCTGGATGGCCAGCCCGCCCGTGTACAGCACCATGGGGCACGTGACGAAGGCGTAGTACACGAGGAAGATCATGGACACGATCGTGCGCGTCACCCGATCGAAGCGTTCCCCGAGGAAGCCGCTGGTCGTGGAGAAGCCCGAGCGAGCGTACACAGGGACGAACACCATGGCCGTGAGGCACATGGCCAGCGCCGCGAAGGTCTCCCAGGCCACGCCCGCCATGCAGCCGTCGGCGAAGATCACTCCGTTCAGGCCCACGAGCTGCTCCGTGGACAAGTTCGTGAGCATGAGCGACCCTGCGACGATGTACCACGTGAGGCTCCGACCTCCCAGGAAGAAATCGTCAGCGGCGTCGGCGCCCGACTTCATGCACTTGCTCACGACGATGGTGGTGATCACGGCGACCGCAGCGGTCCACGCTGTGAAGGTGCTGATGTGCAACGGCCAATTGTGCCCGAGGTGCAGGTCCTTCATGCCGTCGCCGCTGACTTCGTCGGTGATGACGGAGATTCCGTCTTCGGGGTTGACAACCTGCGCCGCCGTCTCAGATAGCCAGGTAGAGAATGTCGTCGTGATCGTGGTCGTCGACATTGCCTTGCTGCTTTTCCGATGGCTACGCCGCGGCGGGAGGGGGGGTGGAGCGGATCCGCCCGCGGGGCGCAGGCTGGCGGCGAACGCGCGGCCTGGCAGCAAAAGTTTTGAGCCAAAATGGTTACGGATTCCCTGCATGACTTGTTGGGGCTCTAGAGGGCCCCAAGAAGGGCCAAGAGCCCAAAGGGACCCCCAAGATGGTCCAAGAGGGCCCCGAGGGATCGCCAAAGATGGCCTCAACACGGCCCCAGAGGCCCTCAAGACGCCCCAAGATTGTTCGAAGAGGCGTTCCAAGAGGGCCCCAGGAGGCACAAATCAGTGATTGTACTTATGTGTTTGAAGGTTGTTGGCCTTCTCGTCTGTTCGGCTTCCCGACGCTCCAAGACGGCCCACGAGGCCCCCAAGACCGCCACAAGACGGCCCACAAGGGCCCCAAGACGGCCCAAGAGGCGCCCAAGGCGGCCAAAGAGCGCCCCAAGACGGCCCAACAAGCGCCCAAAGAGGGGCCTAAGAAGAGGAGCACGGACCGAAACTCCGAGCCTTCCGCCCCAAGAGACGCCCCGGAGGCCCCAAGGGGGCCCCAAGAAGCCCCAAGAGGCACCCTACTCGCCATCGCTCGGACGTTCATTTTTTGTGTTTTGTTCGGTATCGTGCGTGGTTTTTTCGCCAAATGGTCAAGGATATTCCTCGATGGCCCTCGCCGAAGGAAAAGTGCACACGTCCGAGCGATGCCAAGCCTAAACAGCCCCCTGGATGCCTCAACACTGCCTCCAGGAGGCCCCCAAGACCGCTCCAAGACGATCACAAGAGGCCTCCACGAGGACCCCAAAGCTGCCCAAGAGGGCCCCAAGACGGCCCAAAAGGCATCCAAAACGCCCATAATGGCCACGAGGGGCCCAAGATGGGGAACACGTGCCAGAAATCCGAGCCTTCCGCCCCAAGAAGCCCCCAGGAGGCCCCAAGAGGCGCCCAGGAGGCCCAAAGAGGCCCCAAGAAGCCCCCAAGATGCTCCAAAACGCCCCCAACAGGCCCCCAAGAGGCCCCAAGAAGCCTCAAAGAGGCCCAAAGAGACCTCAAGAGGCCCAAACACGGCACCCAAGAGGCGCCGAACATGGCCCCCAAGAGACTTCCAAGAAACCCCGAGAGGCCTCCCACGAAATCCAAATGAACATCCAATACGCTTCATACCAAAAACCCAGACCAGGCACGGTGGCGGGATGGCCCAAACAACAATAAATTTGTGAATCCGTGGAGCGCCTCAAAAGCATTCATCCGCCAGCGTGCCTCTGAGCATGGAGTGGGCGTGACCTCAGGTCCTTTGCCTAATCGCCCAAGCCTCAATCCTCAAGCCCCAATCCTCATCCATCAAGCCTAAATCCTCACTCCTGAGAATTCTCTTAAAAGGGCCTGGAGCCAAGATTGCCAACTCTACCAGGACTTGGACTTGCCGCGCCGCGTCGGGGATCCGGTGAATCTCCCTGCATTACTTTTTGTTGTCGCACACCCTGCTTCGGGCAATCCGAAAGAAAGCTGGTAATAGACAAAACACATGCCAATGTTCGGTCTGCTGCTGCCCTGTGGCGTCTCCAAGGCACAAGCTGGCTCACACATCCTGATGCAGCCGTGGGGAAGATGATATGGAGAGTAAGGTATGTGAGTAAGATAGGGGAGATGCGAAACAGGCGGGGGGAAACAGCTACAGCCAAACGGTGCGACAGTGGAAACCAGGCGTATCCCAACTCAAAAACTTCGAGGTGGGCAGCGCCCGCGCATGCGCACGCGCGAGGGCCAGCGAGAAATGGGCGGGAAGAGCGCGCCAGTTAAGATCAAGGGAGTGCTATGAGGAGAGGGAGCGAAACGACGATCAAAATTACACGCTGGTGCTGCCCACAACGGCACAATTAAAAGAAGTCTGCAGGATGTCACCTCCTAGGATACCCTGCAGAGCGCCCACGCAGCCCGCAGATTTGGTGGACTACTTCAAGAAACGGCCGTAGGCGAGGATGCGAGAAGGAACAGGGGGGGAGGGAGGAGAAGAGGGGCCATGCGTGTTCGGCGGAGGGCAGAGGGTTGAGGAGAACAGGGGGAAGGGGAGACGAACCCAAGGGCGCGCCCGAGGTTCGCGTCAGACGCCGTCGTTGAAATGGTTGATAAAGTGCGGGGCAAGAGGGCGGCGTCGAGCGCTGCGCCCCCTTGTATTCACCGAGCATTCTCCAAAACCACCTCATCATGGTCGTCGCCCCCTCCGATATCCGACCCCACTTCCTTCACCCCTCGAGCACGGCCGTTTTATCGCGAACGCCACGCGCAAAACCGACATGACAAAAACAGTCCCCGCTCACTCGCTGGACTCGCTGGAGGAGTCGGTGCTGTGCTCGCTCTCCCCCCCGGTGCAGGCGAGCTCCTCGCCCATGCCTGACTCCGCCCGCAGCACAAAGATCAGCATCAGCAGGGCGCCAACCCACGCGATCCAGAAGGCGTAGAAGAGCACCTTGCTCCCCACCTGCAGGGCGACTGAGATGAGCGCCACCAACACTGTGATCACCCCGCAATACGGCAGGAGCCCCCTCCACGGCGTGATGTCGACCACGTTGGCAGCCTTCTTATCTGGGCACGGCGTGGGCTCCGGGGACTGGCAAAAACACTTCCTGAGAGGGCTGATGTACGTGGCGGCCAGCATCGTCAAGACTGAGCCGACGAAGCAAATCGCGAACAGGTGCAAATAATGCGGGGCTGGGGGGCTCTTCACGAACTGGCACCCACCATAGGTAACCACGCCTACGGCGAAACCCATCTTGGCAGCGAACGCGTCGGGCAACCTTGTGGCGAGCCCAACACAGAAAACGGTCACGATAGGAAGGGCCGTCATCGCGTTGATCTTCTGCAGATATTCGAATATGCTCTCAAACTTGTTCAGTTGCGGAGCCAATACGTAAGAGAAGAGGGACAAGGCGATGCCGAAGAACGTGGCAATCTTCTTTTGCAGCGCCGCGTCTGCGCTGGGATTGATGTAGATCGCGTAGATCTCCAGGCCGAAGAGGGTCGACGCAGATTGCAGCGCCGAGTTGTACGTGGAGAGAACGCTGCCCAGGAGCACCGCCGCGAAAAGGCCGAGCGACCAGGTCGGCATGACCGCCTTCACCACGAGGGGGTACACCTGGTCGGCCTTGGTGACCTTGAAGGGCTCGCCGTTCACCAGCGTCCCGTGCTTGGCCATCAGCAGCCCGATCACGCCGGGCAGGCAGAGGAATGTGAAGCCGATGACCTTCATCGTGGCCGCGAACATGACGCCCTTCTGCCCATGAGCTAGCGACTGGGCCCCGAGCACGCGCTGAACGATCAACTGGTTGGTGGACCAGTAGTACAAGTTAATCATCATCAGCCCAGTCACGAGTGTGCTCCAAGGGAGGGACACTGGACCATGGACGCGCGCCCCCGCATCATTTGACCAAATCTCGCTGTGGGTGGCGAATGGCTTGAGGTGACCAACGTTATCCGATTGAAAAAGGAAAGAAACGCCACCGATATTAGACAGAGCCGCGACAGGAACCCACACCCCAAAGATAATCAGCCCGACGCCGTTGAGGCAGTCCGAGACGGCCACTGCCTTGAGCCCACCGCTCAGCGCGTAGATTGAGCCGAGGACGCCGATCAGGGTGGTGATGATCCATCTGGGCACGCTCTCGAGCTCGAAGATTGTCTGGATGGCCAGCCCGCCCGTGTACAGCACCATGGGGCACGTGACGAAGGCGTAGTACACGAGGAAGATCATGGACACGATCGTGCGCGTCACCCGATCGAAGCGTTCCCCGAGGAAGCCGCTGGTCGTGGAGAAGCCCGAGCGAGCGTACACAGGGACGAACACCATGGCCGTGAGGCACATGGCCAGCGCCGCGAAGGTCTCCCAGGCCACGCCCGCCATGCAGCCGTCGGCGAAGATCACTCCGTTCAGGCCCACGAGCTGCTCCGTGGACAAGTTCGTGAGCATGAGCGACCCTGCGACGATGTACCACGTGAGGCTCCGACCTCCCAGGAAGAAATCGTCAGCGGCGTCGGCGCCCGACTTCATGCACTTGCTCACGACGATGGTGGTGATCACGGCGACCGCAGCGGTCCACGCTGTGAAGGTGCTGATGTGCAACGGCCAATTGTGCCCGAGGTGCAGGTCCTTCATGCCGTCGCCGCTGACTTCGTCGGTGATGACGGAGATTCCGTCTTCGGGGTTGACAACCTGCGCCGCCGTCTCAGATAGCCAGGTAGAGAATGTCGTCGTGATCGTGGTCGTCGACATTGCCTTGCTGCTTTTCCGATGGCTACGCCGCGGCGGGAGGGGGGGTGGAGCGGATCCGCCCGCGGGGCGCAGGCTGGCGGCGAACGCGCGGCCTGGCAGCAAAAGTTTTGAGCCAAAATGGTTACGGATTCCCTGCATGACTTGTTGGGGCTCTAGAGGGCCCCAAGAAGGGCCAAGAGCCCAAAGGGACCCCCAAGATGGTCCAAGAGGGCCCCGAGGGATCGCCAAAGATGGCCTCAACACGGCCCCAGAGGCCCTCAAGACGCCCCAAGATTGTTCGAAGAGGCGTTCCAAGAGGGCCCCAGGAGGCACAAATCAGTGATTGTACTTATGTGTTTGAAGGTTGTTGGCCTTCTCGTCTGTTCGGCTTCCCGACGCTCCAAGACGGCCCACGAGGCCCCCAAGACCGCCACAAGACGGCCCACAAGGGCCCCAAGACGGCCCAAGAGGCGCCCAAGGCGGCCAAAGAGCGCCCCAAGACGGCCCAACAAGCGCCCAAAGAGGGGCCTAAGAAGAGGAGCACGGACCGAAACTCCGAGCCTTCCGCCCCAAGAGACGCCCCGGAGGCCCCAAGGGGGCCCCAAGAAGCCCCAAGAGGCACCCTACTCGCCATCGCTCGGACGTTCATTTTTTGTGTTTTGTTCGGTATCGTGCGTGGTTTTTTCGCCAAATGGTCAAGGATATTCCTCGATGGCCCTCGCCGAAGGAAAAGTGCACACGTCCGAGCGATGCCAAGCCTAAACAGCCCCCTGGATGCCTCAACACTGCCTCCAGGAGAGGCCGCCGATGGGCCTCGACCAGACCCCAACGACCATCCAAGAGGCCTCTGATCCACGACCAGCGGTGGCGGGATGGGCCAACGGCCGGTGAGCACGCAGCAATACAAATAGGTCTACAGCATACCACCAATAACCAGCAGCACAGCTGCACATCAGGGATACGTATCAAATCTGAGCCTGGCGCGATCCACATTAGGGGTCGCCTTTCCACACAAGTAATTCAATGAAGTTCTGAACAATGCAAGCCAAAACAATGCCAAGCATTGCTTCGCGTTGCTTGGCCTTGTGTGGAATCGTTGCTTGGCACAGTGTGGCATTGTTTGAGTTTGGCTTGGCAGTGCTTGGCATTGCTCAGGTCGTTGCTTGGCACTGCTTGCCGCTGCTTGAAAGTGGCTTGCCGTTGCTGGGTATTGCTCTGCATGTATTGGCATCGATTTGCATTGCTTCGCATTGATCTGCATCGCTTGACATTGGCACTGTATTGCTTGGCATTAGTTGGCGTTCCTTGGAATTGCGTGGACTCGTCGCTTTGCATTGCTTGGCATTGATTTGCACTACTTGAGGTTGCTTGGTATTGCCTGGAGTTGCTTGGCATTCCTTGGCGCTGCTTGGCGTTACTTGGCGCTGCTTGGCATTGCGTGGCATTGCCTGGTCAACTACTGGCAACCCTGGGCAACCCCGAATAACGTGGGGAGCCGCCCATGCAACCCTGAGCAACCCCGTTTCTACAAGCCTACAGCCTCAAGAACCTCCAGCACCCACCACTATACAGATTATACATGGATGAGCAGGCATACGCATATGCACACTAGCGCACACGTTCGTAGACATCAATCGAATGCGCAAGGGTCTGCCCGATAGCAGGATTCGGGTGCTGAGGGTTCAGGATCCCCCCCAGTTGTTCGGAGGGTCAGCAATGATGCTGGATACGCCGTAGACATCCGCGAGAGCCGTAGACAGCGCAGACGGCACGGCTGAGGCCGAGGCACCCAAGTGGGTGAGGGTTCAGATTCGTCGTTTTGCCTGCGCAGGCAGACCGAAGAGGGAGGAGGGACAGAGGGGACACGTATGCAGGGGGAGGACGGCAGGGAGGAAAGCAGGGAGGACTGGCAAAAAGAGGAGAGGCGCAGAACGGAGGTTGCAAATATCAAAGCGAGCCCGCCCTTCCGTGCTGGGAGCGTTGACGCCGTCCTGAGCCGAGTGGGGCACCGACCGCGTAAACGTCGCCGTGGTTGCTCGGATCTGGCAGGCCCCCCTCGCTCCTCATTCCCGCGCCTCCTCCTCCTCCTCCTCCTCCTCCTCCTCCTCCCCCTCCTCCTCCTCTTCCTCCTCCTCCTCCTTCTCCACACCGTCCCCCTTTCCTTCACTCCTCCTCCTCCTCCTCCTCCTCCTCTTCCTCCTCCTCCTCCTCCTCCTCCTCCTCCTCCTCCTCCTCCTCCTCCTCCTCCTCCTCCTCCCTCCTCCTCCTCCTCCTCCCTCCTCCTCCTCCTCCTCCTCTCCTCCTCCTCCCCTCCTCCTCCTTCCCTCCTCCTCCTCCTCCTCCTCCTCCTCCTCCTCCTCCTTCCTCCTCCTCCTCCTCTCCTCTCCTCCTCCTCTCCTCCTCCTCCTCCCCTCCTCCCTCCTCCTCCTCCTCCTCCTCCTCCTCCTCCTCTCCTCCTCCTCCTCCTCCTCCTCCTCCTCCCCCCTCCTCCTCCTCCTCCTCTCCTCCTCCTCCTCCTCCTCCTCCTCCTCTCCTCCTCCTCCTCCTCCTCCTCCTCCTCCTCCTCCTCCTCCTCCGCCTCCTCCTCCTCCTCCTCCTCCCTCCTCCTCCTCCTCCTCCTCCTCCTCCTCCTCCTCCTCCTCCTCCTCCTCCTCCTCCTCCTCCTCCTCCTCCTCCTCCTCCTCCTCCTCCTCCTCTCCTCCTCCTCCTCCCCCCTCCTCCTCCTCCTCCTCCTCCTCCTCCTCCTACTCGCTCCTCCTCCCACTCCTCCTCCCGCTCCTCTTCCCCACTCCTCCTTTCGCTCCTCTTTCCACCCCTCCTCCACCTTTTTACAAGCGCGGAGAAGCCCTGTGGCGGGGAGGGGGGAGGGGGAGGGAGGGGGGCGAAACAGACAGAGCAGCTCAGCCCGGAGCTGCTGCACGAATTAGCCCTGGTCGGGCGGCCCAGCCAGGGTCGCCAGCCGCCGGCGCAGCGCGGCGCGCCAAGCCGCTTCGGGCCCCCTGGCCCTACCCGCAGGCACCAGCACCTGCGCAGCGGCGCGAGGCGGCAGCGAGACAGCCCAGCCAGGGCACGGCCGGGCCGCCAGCACCTGCCAGCGTGGAGCCGCCGCGCCGCACTGGAGGCAGGCGACCCAGCCGGGGCCCAGCGAGGCTGCGTGCGGCGCCCAGGCGCCACCTCCGAAGAGGGCCCTGGCGGCCTCGGCCGTGCCTCGCTGCGGCAGGCCTCGCCCCTCTGCCCACGGCCGCCGGGGGCGCGGAGGCGGCGCGGTCCCCACTTCCTTCGGGCGCTTCGGGCGGTCGCACGCCGCCGTGGGCGTGCCCCCCCCCCCCCCCCCCGGGCCGTACAGCTGGGGGCTCAGAACCACAGCTGGCGGCTCGGGCCTCGCCGCCTGCAAGCTGCCCACCTCCCATGGCAGGGGTCCCCACAGCTCGGGCTGCCCGACCTGCGGAGGGCCCGGCGCCCAGGCGCCCCGGGGAGGGTGGCCACCCACGGCAGGCCTCGGGGGAGAGGCCGTCGGGGCGGCCTGCATCCAGGCCCGCGGCAGCTGCTCCTTCACTGCCTTCTGGCTCTGGTTGCGGATCCCCCTTGATCCCGATTCCTGCTCGTACTCTTCGCTCTCCCACTACGTGTCCTCCAATCGGGGCAGTCTGGGAGCGATCTCGGGGGACTCTTGAACTGCCTTGAGAACTCCGCAGGCCGAAGAGGCGAGCATGCGAACATCATACATAAGCATTTTGGGGCATCAGCCAGATTTGCACAATTACTAAGGACATCTTGGGGTTGCTTTTCGGGCGCTCTTGGGTCGTCGTGGACGGATCCTGGGCCGCGTTGGGACCATCGGAGAGCCCTGGGGGCTCTCTTGGGACGTCAGAGCAGGCAGGTGGCACAGCTTCGAGCCAGACGGTTGAGCCAAACCGGTTGGAAAGAAAAGGGAAAATATAATCGACGATGTCTCCACCGCACCCGCGGGCATCATATGATTTTCGGCTCAGGCGATGGTGGCGCGATCCACCGTCCTGCCACGAAAAGGCTCTCCCCCCCAAAAAAGGAACATCCGCCGACCCTGTCGGCGTCTGTGAGGAGCTTGTCCGTTCGAGTCGTCGTCTGCGTCATTCGTTAGTCGTCATCTCTGTCGTTCCAGTTCCCTGCGGCACCCATTTCCCTGGGCCCGTCGCCGCTCCTCCCTTTTTCCTGGGCCCTCCGAAATTGAGCAACGTCGTAATTCAGTCGAAGGGAAGCGCCTTCCCTTTGATCCCTCCCCCGTCGTCGAGGGGGTCCAACGCCGAACGATTTGTCCAAGACACCTTGATGGCCTCCAGGCGGCCCATAAGGCCTGCAAGACGCCCCAAAAAGTCTCCAGGAGCACCCCCAAGAAGGCCCCAAGAGGCACGAATCATCAATTTCCCGCAAGTTTTCGAAGGATTTTGGCGTTCTCGCCTCTTCCGTTTCCCGGCGCTCCACAACGGCCCAAGAGGCCCCCCAGATCGCCCCAAGACGGCCCAAAGTCCTCCAAGAGGTTCCTAAAATGGCCCGAGAGGGCCCCAAGACGGCCCGAGACGCCTCCAAGACGGGCCAAGAGGCACCCAAGAAGACTCCTATGGGGCCGCACAGTGCGTGAAGGGTGTGTCGAAATAGGCCGGGAGACGCACGCGGACCCTGCCACGGGAACCCTCGGTGGAACTCCCTGGGGCCCGGAAGTGTGTGAGCTGTGCGCCGAACTTGGCTGGGGGGCGCTAGCGGACCCTGCCACAGAAACCCCCGGTGGAGCTCCCCAATGGGGCCAGGATGCGTGCGAGGGGTGTGCCGCGCTAGGCCGGAGGACGCACGTGGACCTTGTCACGGAAGCCTTCCGTGGAGCTTCTGTCGGGGCGCCCCGGAACTTGAGGTTGGTGCGCCGACACGGGCACGCCGAGGGCAGGGGCAGGGACGGGACGGGGGAGGAAGGGAAGGGGGGAGGGGAGGAGAGGAGAGTGGGAGAAGACGGGGGGCGCTGTCTTTTCAAAACGAAGACCCACCACCACAGGATGGTCGGCAAAGGCCTCAATTGCTGCCGGACTCGCCGCCGCAGGTGTCCTCGGGCGGGGGCTCGGCAGGCCCCTGCCGGTTGGTAGGCGGTGGCGACGCAACGGGGCACCTGCGGGGGGCCTCGGGAACGGCGGCTGGGCAGGGCCCGAGCGGATCCTGCGCTGCAGAGCTCCCGCGGCCAATGCTCGGGGGAAAAGACTACCAGAAATAATAGCAAACAGCGGCTGCATTGTTTCTTATATATATATATATACGGACCAAAGCGCGGGGGCGGTCAATCCCGCGATCGGTTGGCAGGTCGCCCCCACGCGGGCGAAGCAACGGGAACACCTCTTATTTGTTGCCGGCTCAGATGGTTCAGCCGCGGACTTGCGCTCTGCCTCGCGGGCCGCCCCTGGAAAGCCCCGAGCTAAGCGGGTGCGGTCCACGCCGGATTAGGGCGAGGTTCTCTGGCCTTTTGCTCGTAGGGTCAACCGACCCGGCCGTCCCTGAATCATCTGGACGGGGGCAGATGGCGCCTCTCTCAAGGACAGCGTGCGCGGCTGCGTGCTCGCATCTGATGCATTGCAAAACTGCCGACCGTTTGCTGTGGGCCTCTAGCACGCGACGCACGATTCGAAAACTCACGATTGGGCTCGACCGGAAAAAATTCAGTGAGTGGCGCACATGCAAAACTCTGTAGAACCCACCAGCCACCGACAAGCCTGACATCCCGATTTGCCAGCGCAGTGCAACGATGGGCGCTGCGAAGAGGCATGGGCGGTCTGGGGGAGGGGAACAGACTAGGGTAATTCTTTGGCTGGTCAATCGCGTTGAAACTCTCGGCCCGCTCTCGAGAGAAAGGATGGCTCGGGACCGCGAACGGGCGCTGCCCGCGAAGGCACTCTACTCATCGGCGCGGAGATGCGCCAGGGCAGCTGCGCCGAGGCTTCTCTGCGCTCCAGTCAGCATGCCCACCTGCTGAGTACGCGCTGCCAGTGGTAGCTGGCCTCCGCTTGGGCGTTTAAGCGACTGGCGAGCAGGGGCCCACGCCGCATTCGCGTCGCTGGTTCCACCCTGCCTCTCTCGCTGCATCTGGCGGCTGCGCGGTAATGCTGACCTTTGGCTTCTCCTGGCCGCAGTGCTCGGCCAGCATGCCAACCTGCTGGTCAGCAACGTTTGCGAGATGACCTGCGGTGATCTCCAGGGCCAAACGATGCGCGGATAGTTCGCCGCCAGGAACAGGTCGCCTCGGGCCAAAGAGAAGATGATGGAGGCCCGGTGAAAAGACCCAGCGGGAGGCCTCGGAATTCCATCTGGCCAGCCAGCTCCCAAGCCCACGCGGCGCCTGCGAGCGCCCCCCGAGCGCGCGCCCATCGGGGCCCATCCGCGGGGCCCTGCATCGCACAGGGCCTGCCTGCCAAAGCCCAATGCGGGAGCCCTTGCGGGGCTTCTCCCAGCAATGGAACCCAACCTTCGCGCCCGACGCAAGCCTCGCAGCGGGGCGGAGGCGGGGGGGGCGGGGCGCCGCTGGCGGCCGCCCAGGGGGGCCGTCGCGCAGGAGTCGCTTCGGCCCCCGCGAACGTTTGTGGATCGAAGCGGAGCCTGGCCTCGAAATCGCCCCCGCAGCTGCGGCCACATTGCCGCGCGCGTTAAAGGGGCGCGCGCGGGGCTCGTCGGTCGCGCCGCCCGCGCCCTCATCAGACGTCGCACCCTGCGTCGCGCGGGCTTTCCTGCGCGCGCACTGACCTCCTCCGACGATCGCGTCAAGGTCTAGTCGCTACAATTGCCCCGCGCCATGAGCCGCCCCTGCTCCGCGCGTCGCGTGGCAGGGCCCGCCCCAGCTCCCAGGGGCGCGTCGCGCAGGTGCCCAGCTGCGCACTGCCACTTCTGCACGCGGAGACCGTCGGCAAGGCCGCGGGGCGCCGCGTTGGCGCCCGCGCCAGAAAACGCCGGGGAACTCCGCGGCGGGCCGTTGCCACCCTTCGACGCGCTCGCCCGGGCAGCGCGGCCGCCGCCCGCAAGGCCCTCGCCATTG